TGTAGGTTTTATATTTTATGTAGTATTTTAAATTATATTCTCCCTGATAAATTTTTATAAACATTTAATCTGCCATGTTGCTAGAAATAGAACTTAGCAATTATTAATAAAAATAAATCACCAGTCTGTTGTTAAAAGTATTTGCAATACCTAATTATAAAAGCGTTGCTTACCATAGAGGGGAATTTTAATCTGGGGCTAAAAGTAATACTTTATCATTTTTATTATGCATTCCACAAACTAGGCAAATATGTAGCTGATTTCCCCTTTTTTACAAGCTTATAAATTATTGAAGTATAAATTGTACTTTGTATTTGTAAACTTGATAGTGGACGTTCCTTTTCCATTTCAACTATACTGTCACATATGGATTTTTAAAGCATCTTTACCACAGCGATTCTTGCTTTTTCTAGCTACAAGACAATAAATGTCAGTGTTTATGAGTGCTGATAAGAGACTGAATTCTATTCTGCTCTCATTGTTCCTGCTGTGAAATGATTGCCTATTTTAAAACCTCCCCAACAGAGACTGATTGCTATTATGAACCACGAAGACTGCGGATAGAAATCACCTCCCTTCTCGGCCTTACGGGCAGCAACAGTGATGAGGAGTCGCCCACTACCCTGTAAAAGTCAGTCTTGCAGTGCGCCCCCGTCACGGACACCGAATGTTTCACTCACTTGCTTGTTCATCATTTAACTACTTAACCCATCAGCCATTCACCCCGGTCTTCTCTTCCAGACATAGCTATTTGACGTTTCCAGGCAAAACACATCTTCTTTTGCTTGCTATTCATTAGTGTCCATCAAAATATACTTTTTTATATTAAAAAATAAGACTGTGCTGAGATGGAATGCCAGCAACAGGCCATTTTTCTTGGTAATAGACAAATGGCATCGATGAGACTTCCCAGGGGTGAAACTCCATGTTTTTCAGAAGTGAAATGATTCATCTGACAAGATAATGAATTTATTGCTTTTGGGGGGGAAGATTTGCAAAGAATTTATTTTTTCTGGATAGACAATTTAAAGATGTGAAAGGATATCAAAAGAGAGAATTAAGAAAGAAAGCTAGTTTAATGTAAATGGATTCCAGTCAGAAATGTAGATGTGTAATACTTGAATATCCTGAAAAAAACCTCCTCCTGAGCTGACATGTATTTGAGATAAGCATTATTACTATGGCTAGAAAATTAGTTTTAGGCTCCATTTAGAATCTTATTGAGGGCTGGATGAAAAAAATCAGAGAAGTGATTTTTGTTTTATGAAATTCACATCTTTATAATAATAATGCAAACTTTACTCACTTCTTTCTTTTTGTTTCTAAAAATAGCTAAATAGACATATAAGTGAATTTGGCTTAAATATTGGGTTGTTGGAAAAGTCATGACATAGTTTTTCTATGCTTTTCTTTTAAAAAATGCGTCATGACTTTTCCGACACCCCAATATATGCCCATACTCTTGTATCCTTACCAGACTACACTTGAGACAAGGGCACAAGGGAGCACTTTACGAACAGGATGCCAACCTCTGTGAATCGTTAACATTAGACTTTCTGTTCTGTGGCAGGATGCAGACAAAGGCCTTTGTTAGGTATGCCCGAGAAGACAGAGGTTCTATGCTAAAGAGCTCTGGGTGACAGCTGTAACACAGCGCTATGGACTGGTGGCATACACATAACAGAGATCTGTTTATCACAGTTCTGGAGGCTGCAAGTCCAGGATCAACATGCCAGCATGGCTAGGTTCTGGTATGATCCCGCTCGTGGGCTGCAGGATTCTTATGGTATCCTCAGAGTGGAAAGAGGGCAAGGGAGCTCTCTGGGTCCCTTTCATAAAAGCACCCATTCATGAAGGGGCCACCCGCGTGGAATACTCACCTCCCAAAGGCCCTACCTCCTCATACCCTCACACTGAGGGTTAGGGCTTCAACCTAAGACTTTTAAGGGAACACAAGCATCCAGTCCATTGCAGGTGACATGGGAGGACAATGTGAAACAGTAAGAAGAGACTGTGTTTTAGCCTCTGAAAAATCAGGGCTCATAGAGTTTCAACTCTCTGATGTGAGTAATGGAGATGGTGTGCTGGTTAATTTTGTATGTCGGCTTGACTGGGCTGCAGGGTGCCCAGGTGAAGAAAACATTATTCTAGGTGTGTCTGTGAGGGTGCTTCTGGGTGAGATGAGCATTTGACTGAAGCACACCGCCCTCTCTGAGGTGGGAGGCCCTCATCTCATCAGCGGAAGGCCTGAACAGAACAGAACGGCTGTCCCTCTCATGAGCAGTAGGTGACTCCGTCTGCCTGCCTGAGATGGGAC